TTCTTACTCAAGTGTACTGACAAACGATATGGTGCTGGTGCTCCCTGGAATTGGGGGAATTTAAAACTGATTTTTCTCCTGGGCAATTACATGGGTTCTTTTGAGATTGTCCCCATCACTATGGATCTCATCTGCAGTACCCCTGAGGGTTGCTATGTACCTTCCTCTGGCTGTTTTTTGGTTCTTTCCTCAACTCCTGGGAATCTTGGAAGTTCAATCCCTATTGGGGGGTCTTATCATCCTTCTAGAGGGCCCTCCTGGAAGGACTAAGAACACCCCTCCACCCAGGCCATAGGAAGCTAGCATCCTTTGCCTAAACAGATTAGGAGATGCAGAGAACCCCACAAGTCATTCTAATTCCACAGTCAGAAAACTCAACAGCCAGCCACTCCACTGTTGGCCTTTATATCAGATTAGAATTATAATATGAGGCACATATGTAATTTTTAATTTACATATGTGCCAACTCTATAGGGAATTTAAGCCTCATTTTAGAAAGTTAAAAATAATAAAATTAACAATATATTTTATTTAACACTAGTGGCCCAGTGCACGAAATTTGGAGGGGGGGGGGGCCTCAGCCCAGCCTGCACCCTCTCCAATCTGGAATCCCTTGCGGGGGTGGTGTGGAATCGGGCCTAAACCAGCAGTCGGACATCTCCCTCGCAATCTGGGACTGCTGGCTCCTAACCGCTCACCTGCCTGCCTGCCTGATCACCCCTAACCACTCTGCCTACCAGCCTGCTCTCCCCCAACTGCCCCACCACCAGCCTTCTCACCCCCAACTGCCCCCCTGCTGGCCTGCTCACCCCTAGCCCCGCTCTCCAGCGAGGCTTGGCTTCCCACTGGCTCTCTGGCTGGCTCCGTGGCTCCAGCCAGCAGTGCCATCTTTGTCACATCAATTTGCATAATCCCTCTTTATTGGCTGTGGGCACCACCATATTTATCATGCTGTGACTGTTAATTTGCATATTACTCTTTTATTAGATAGGATAACATATCCCAAATATTATACAGATATTCAAATCTACATTAAAAAATTAACGACACATTTTACATCCTTTCTGTACAAGGTCTTCGAAACTGGATGTGTGTTTTACACTTGTATATCTGCATGTGCACTAGCCACATTTCAAGTGCTCAGTGGCTACATGCAGCTAGTTTTGGAAGACGCAGCTTTAGATTTTGCAGACTTGGGTCAGACACCAGTCCATAGTATCACACCCCCCTCTCCCCGAAGCCACTAAAGACATCTGACACTCTAAATCAGTGGTGGGGAACCTTTTTACTGCCAAGGGCCATTTGAATATTTACAACATCACTCTGGGGCCATACAGAATTATCAACTTAAAAATTAGCCTGCTTGCCCTAGCCGGTTTGGCTCAGCGGACAGAGCGTTGGCCTGCGGACTAAAGGGTCCTGGGTTCAATTCTAGTCAAGGGCACATACCAGGGTTGCAGGCTCGATCCCCAGTAGGGGGTGCGCAGGAGACAGCCAATCAATGATTCTCTCTCATCCTTGATGTTTCTATCTCCCTCTCCCTTTCTCTCACAATTCAATAAAAATATATTAATAATAATAGTTAAAAAAAGAAACCCTCCTTCAATCTCCAATAATGGACCTTTCAACACTTGCATGGGTAAGGTTAAAAGCCACAAACAGGTTTTCTCTCACTTCTTTTTATGCAACTCTGGTTCCTCACTTTACACTGTATCTATATTGTTTTGGGGCCTTAGCCAACACTTCTAGTTTTATATTTTGTTACCTGAATATTTCAATCATGTCTCAAGTTCTTAAAGTTTCTGGCAATTTATTTTTGGCTATAAGGTGATGGCTTTCAACAGTAATAAATAACTTTTAACACATTACACATTTCATTTTAATCTTACAAAGTCATAATTAGCTTTATTAATCTTCCCAAATACTCAAAATACCACTAAAAAGCACAAGCAACTATAGGCAATGTATGATTATAAACACATAAAATAAAAAGCACTGATGCAAGGGGAAAAGAGACTAAGAAAAGGGAACATTTACCAATGGCTGTAGTTTGAAAGAGTCCCTGAGTTTTGTTTGTTTCTGGTAGTAATTTTTTTGTAGTAATTATAAGATAGCAAAACTGGTTGGTTCCTACCTACACTTTTAATTCTTTTATAGCACTTACCTATTAAGGCTGTGGTAAATCGATTCATGGAGAGAGGTTCTAAATACATCGGTCCTTCATAGGCAGACTCCAGTTCACTTCGCACATAGTCCCTATAAAAGTAAAATGGTAAGAATGGATTAGATACATCCCAAGTGCAGATGGTAGACAGAAGCAGCTAAAGCACAAAATTCTTATAAAAAGCATATTCTCCTCTTAATAACTCCTCTTCCCACTTCTAAGGAAAAAATTATATATAATGACTTATACAGGAATGGCTTTCATCTCCTTCTTCTAAGCACTGAAATAGAATTTACAGAAACGAGAGTTTACTACGCAGAGACGACAAGCAAAACTCCACTGTGTTTTCTTTCTTCCCATTACTTTATTAAATAATTTACACCCAATAAAAAGCCAGTTGAGGCATCATTTCTCTACCCTACTACTTAATAATATCCAGCAATATTACATTAACTATTTCCTCTTTTGGCTCTCTTCCTCCATCCACCCTGTCTTATTTTCCCCAAAGTTTTGTCCCCAGTTATACTTAATTAATCACAGGTAAATCCTCAAACTAGTTAGGAAACTGTCTCATAAGAGAAAAACCCTTTAAAAATGCCACTTTCAACTCTCTAGGGAATTTAAGTAGTCTATACATTTATTTTGAAACAAATCTTAAACCAAATCAAATATCCCTTTTTAAATTTAATTCATCTAACACGTGATTACTAAGAAAGAACACGATTTAAGTAATAGCGAAGAAGCCTTTATACTCTGAGAAAACAACTCTTAGGACATAGGTGGGAAGCACAGAAGGGGATAACTTAATTTATTAATCAGTAAGTTAAATGGTAACACTACAAAGTGGTTGTTTAAGTTTTATGACATCAAAGTGGGGAAATTTGTTTAAATATCCTTCCTCTTTTCTTCAATTGATGAATGCTTTATTCACTGTGTTTCAAAACAATCTGAATGTGGCAGGTATTTCTGAACAAACGCATATGTCTGTATTTACTTTTTCCATGAAATTACTTCCTATTAGGCAATCATGTTGAATTCCTTCAGCATACCACAGCCAAACAAGAAATGATCCTTACATAATCAGCAAGGAGAGTATTGCCCAAAATCAAATTTAAAAACTCAAATGACTTTGTTAAGAATAGGAGCAGTTTGGGGAACAATCCTAAGCTTCAATTCTCCTCTATCACTCTATGAAAACCACAGAACTGCCACCCACAGCAAAGAATGGCCCAGCTCAAAATGTTAATGGCCCCCAAATAGAGAAACCCTCATCTACAGCTTAGAATTATATAAGCTTTCGTAAGATGGAGAGCTAGCTGGTTACCTGTATTTTACACAGGTAACTCTTGGGAAAATTTTACATTTGAAACCATACTTATATACCCAAGACAGACCAGTATGAAAAACGTATACTTTCATCTTTTAAAAGCACAGCCTCTTAATTCAGGCCATACCTGAAAACTGGTATGTTTTTTTCAAAAATATAGCAATTAAGCAAGAAATTTTAAGAAAACTAGAATTTAAAAATTTTAGGAAAAAAAAAAAAAGAACTGTGGATCTGAACCATGAGCACACTGAACGGTGATGTCAATTGAAGTTTTCTTTTTCCCTTTTATTTCTGGAGAGTCTCAATATTACAGTAGGATTGTTACTTGAAAATACATTCCATACATCACTCAAAATTAAGAGTATAGTTTAGTGTTTCTAAGAATTTTGTCAAATTCTAATGAGTTCAATTAGAATATTAATATTAAATGTTCATACTACACCACCTGAGCCCCTGGATCTTCTAGTTTAAATGTTCTGAACTATAAGCCATATCCATTCCACAGACATATTCTAAACAGATTTTTTTATTCACTTAAGGATAATCAGCTTCATTATGTGAGTACATGTATTTAGGGAAAACAGAGGTCCAGTTTTTCAAGAGTTTATGAAATTTTCAATTTAAGAAATTAATATTTGCAAATGTCTTTATGTATAACCAGTTTTTGAAGTACCAAATTAATTATTTAAATTATCCAAGTAGTGTGACTCTTCTTCTCAGGACTATATTATATTCTACCTTGATATAAGTAGACTGGAGTAATGGTGGAAATATTTATAAATCGTATAATGAATAAGGAACTTGTATCTAGGACATGGGAAAACATCCTACAACTCAATTTTTAAAAAGATAATCCCATTCAATAATGGACAAAAGGATATCAATAAACACTTTTCCAAAGAAGATTCACATAAAAAGATGCTAAACCTCATTAGACATCAAGAAAATGCAAATCAAAACCCCAATGAAATATCACTTCATATTAACTACGATGTCTATACTAAAAAAACCAGCCACCAACAAGTGTTGGCAATGATATGGAGAATTGGAATCCTCATACTAACTATGATGTCTATACTAAAAAAGATGGACATATCAACAAGTGTTGGCAAAGATATGAGAAATTGAAACCCTCATACACTGCTGGTGGAAACATAAAATAGTTCAGCCACTTCAGAAATAGTCTGACAGTGCCTCAAAAAGTTAAATTATCATATAATCTACAAATTCCACTCCAAGGGAAAAAAGTATGTCCACACAAACACCACAAATGTTTACAGCATTAGTCATAATAGCCAAATATCCATCAATGAATGAGTGGACAAACAAAATGTGGTCTATTCATAAAATAGAATATGATTTGGACAGAAAAATAAAGTGATGCATGCTACACTATGGATGAACCTTGAAAATACGCTAAGTGCAAAAACGCAGGCACAAAGAACGACACACTGTACAATTCAATGTACATGAAACATCTAGAATTGGCCAATCCAAAGATAGAAAACAGACTTCACACAGTTGCCCTAGTGCTGGCAGGACGAGGGGGTTATGGGGAAGAGAATGGGAAGTGACTGCTGGGTACAGGGTTTCTTTCTGTAGTGATGAAATGTTCTAAAATCAATTGTGGTGATGGTTTGCAATTCTGTGAATGTTCTAAAATCCATGAAACCGTCTACTTTAAATAGGTATGTGAATTACATTTCAATAAAGCTGTTATTTTTTTTTAAAGACACCTGGTTATAAAACTGCCACATGAAATTTGAACCAGTTTTTTAAACAAACTAAAGACTTCAGCCTTAATGATTTATACATGTGATACATTATGAATAAGAATAACACATCTTTGCAAATCTTTTGTAAGATAGTATCATATAGGGTAAATTATACTGAGGATAAATACTAAAATATGTCATATCTTGAAATTTGTTAATATCTAAACTAACTCTGTAAGATGGATGAGTCTTACTTTAGTTTCAAAGAAGCAACTTGCCAAGGTAACATAGTATTCACTCAGTAGTAAGACTATTTCATACCCAGTCTGATTCTAAAACTAATTTTCTTTCTACTAACCATCCTGTCTCCCTAAGAGAACTAAGAATCAGAAAACCTGAAGTCAAGTTAAAGTCTGAATCGTCCCTTCAGTTTTTTTTAACTGTAAATCTCAACAAATTATAATAAGGATCAAAATGAAATCAAGAGCAGGAAATATTTTTGTATACTGTAAAATTCTATTATAATTCTTTTATTGTTTAAAGTAAGTTTAAATTTTCTAATAATGAAAACAAACTTTAAACATCAGAAAAAAGCATTACTTCAGAAACTAAAACTAAAAAGTTGAAATTGCCACAAAAATAATTAGAAAAAGGCTTTTCTTACAGCTGACCCTTTTATCTTTACATAACAGAATTGTGACCTCTCTAAAAAAGCCAGGATGGCAATGCTGTAGATAAAAATAGAGCTACATGATTTCAGCATTACTATACCACAAACCACATGAAAACTGAAAAACCATGAGAGAAAGGGCAGGTTCATTGTTTTCTTTTTTTTACCCAGAATTATAACTAGCAAAGCAGTAATTTTTAAAATATATATTTTAATTGATTCAGAGAGGAAGGGAGAAATAGAAACATCAATGATGAGAAAGAATCATTGATTGGCTGCCTCCTGCACACCCAACGTATGCCCTGACTGGGATCGAACCGTGACCTCCTGGTTCATAGGTCAACGCTCAATCACTGAGCCATGCCAGCCAGGCCAAAGCAATAATTTTAATAGCTCTACCTTCAACTTTGAGATTCCTCTGATTAATCATCAAAATCCTATTAACTTTCTTGTTCAATCCCTCCACCCCCACCAATATTCCCCCTACCAGTGCTGTTTGCCTATTTTTCTATCTGTGAGTCTATCTCTATTTTGTTTCATAGCTCAATTTGTTCGTTAAATCCCATGAGTGAAATCATATGGTACTCTATAAATGATCCTGGAAAAAATAAAATAGCAAAGAAAAAGTTCTATTAACTTTTAAAAGCTATCATACCCTGGTTGTTGTGCTCAGTGATTAGAGCATCATCCTGTGCACCAAAGGGCCATAGGCTCGATTCCCAGTCAGGTCACATACTTAGGTTACAGGTTAGGTCCCTGGTCGGGGTTGGGGCACGTGGGTGAGGCAACCCATTGATGTTTCTTTCTATCTCCCTCTCCCTTCTTCCTTTCTCCCTCTAGAATCAATGAAAAACATATCCTTGAGTGAAGATTTTTTTTTAAAGATAAAAAGCTATCATTAACTATAGTATGAAATATTCTGCCATGTCAAAAATCATTTCTTAAGGACTAACAACATAGGAAAATGCTCATAAAATAATGCTAATAAAAATACTTAAGAATGTCAGGTAAAATTCACTAAGCACTTATTATATGTCAGAAACTGGGCTAAGAGTTTTACGTGCTTTATCTTACATAAACTTTACAATAGTTCTTAAGATATTATCACCATTTTGCAAGTGAGGAAAACTGAGACCTATCTTTCTGTTAAGTGGCACTAAAGTTACAGATTAGTAAATAAGGACCGTGAAATTTGAACCTATGAAATCAGCTATCCATTTATCCAAAGGATGTGGTGCTCTTAAGTGCCCGGACACTCATTTATACCCTAAAAGGGTGACGTACTGCATTATACTCTACAGACACAATTACTGTTTACTCTGAGTGTGAGCTGAGATTCCAGTGTCTGGGTAAGGCCATAGGAAGAAACTATGTCCAGGTTTGGGGGCAGGTACTGGAATGGGAAGGCCAGCATGTTGTGTGTGTCAGCACTGGCCCTTGGACCTCTGGAGAAAACAACGCTACAAGAGAAGGCCCAAGTTATTCCCACAATGGAGCCTAAGACACAGGGACATACTTGTGTGACACCAAATTAGAAAAGTCATTGTCTCTACTTGCGAGTAAAACACAGCTTGACTTGAAACACTGTGAGGATGACAAGAAATGCAGCACTACTCTGGCAGCTACAGATTTTGCAACTTGGACATGTGAGGACATACCCTGGGCAAGACAAGAGTAACTCCCCACCCTCCAGGTACCTTTTGGAGCAGAGGAAATCAATCAGACAGAAACAGAGGAGAGGAATGTGAGAAGACTGGTTTCTGGGAAACACTCTGGAGCCTCTGAGAATTAACTAGATGAAATATTAAGGAGGATGAAGCAGGACCTTTCTTGCTTCAACAAGAAGGGCCAAGAGTCAGTGACTTTTAATTATTTTCACTTTTTCTTATCCAATGCACTGGTGAAAACTGAAAGGTATTAAAAAAATTCAAGGACATACCAGAATTTTAACAGGTCTATCTCTGGGTGGCATAATTTCAGGTGATTATTACTGTCTTTAAATGTTCTGTTTCTCAAAAATTGTCTAAGGTGAGCAGTACTATGTTATTTTATAATCGGGGGGATTATAAAATAACAGTACCATTAAGTCAACCATTCAATTCTAGTCATATAAAAATGCTATTTCCAACATTAAATTTCAAGCCTACATCAAAATCTGTTTCAGACCTCTAGACAATTATATCTTGTTATATATGCAAAGTAGCTGTCACTCTTCTTAGACTAGGGAGTATATTTTATACATTTCAATCAAAACAGAAAAAATAATACTCCAAAATATATTCTACCCTATTACATTTACTGTGTGGATTTTGGTTCACCTGTATTTCAACATTCTGTTCCAAAGTAGGACACTCATATTTATTGGTCTTAAGTTTTAGGGCCAGTAGACCTAGGCAAACAGATACTCCTGCTAAAGAGGTAGAGTTCTGAGCTATACAATTAACCCCATCAAATAATTTATATCAATCATCCACTATGCACATGGTAGAATCTTATACTGATTCTCATGCAACATAAACTGACTTCCTAAAATAATAAAAGTAATGAAGTCTGTAACTGTTAAAGTGGTCCTATAGCCCGTCTTTGGAAATTCTTTCCTCAGATAATACAGAAAAGCTCATGGGTATCACTGTAAACATAAGCTTAAGGCCCATTTTATATAAGACTAGAGGCCCGGTGCACGATATTCATGAAGGGGGGGAAAATCCCTCAGCCCAGCCTCTGTGGAGTGGGCCTAAACTGGAGGTTGGACATCCCCCGAGGGGTCCTTAGGGCTGCTGCAGAGGCAGGAGAGGCTCCCACCACCACTGCTGCACTCGCCAGCTGTGAGCCCAGCTTCTGGCTGAGCAGCGCTCCCCCATGTGAGCGCACCAGGGGGCAGCTCCTGCATTGAGTGTCTGCCCCTCGGTGGTCAGTGCGCGTCATGGCGACCAGTCATTCTGCCATTTGGTCGATTTGCATATTAGCCTTTTATTATATAGGATTGTTTTTAAAAGCAAAAATAAAATTTGAGACATAACCCCAGTTATTAATCCTGTATGCTAATATTTATTTAGAAAACAAATATAAAAAAACGGTTTTGGATACCTACCAAAGCCTCAGCTTCTTAACTATGTTCATGAAAATAATTTTTTGGTAAAGAAAAACTTGAAATTCAGTCATTCATTTCAAAAATGGGGTCGCATTCTTACCTGGAGATTTGATGTCCAGCATAGAGGAGAAGGGCAGTCAAAAAATATAGGTAAAGCTGAACCAGGTATTGCCTGGGCAAGGTTAGTAGCACAACACTTAAGATATAACCTGTAGTAAAAATTAAGAGAAAAATAAATAAAATACAGTTCTAATTTAGTCTCCCAATTAATTACACCAATAAAGACAGATTGAAGTAAATTACTTTCCAATTAGGTTTCAACAACTTAAGGTTTTTTTTTACTTCACGACCAAAGTAAGTTCAGCACAGTAAAATCACTGCAGATTTTTTTGTTGAAGATGTAAAGCATTTTTCACTTCTTTTGTAGATGTTTGTACTTTATAACTGGACACATCACACAAAGGCACAGCAGACTCCTCTCATCATCTACCCTTCCTGACGTCCACTCACTGATTCTACACCAAGGCTCCCATTCTCTAGTCCCAGAGGAAGAACTGGGCACCTTCCTGTCCCTCGAAGGCTTCCCCTTCCATTCCACTTAAGATCTTATTTTTCCAACTCCTAAAGACCTCTACCTTCTTCATCTCTAATCATTCCCGATATCAGTCCTTATCCCTCTTTTCAAACACTGTGCAGGGCTCTTTCCCAAGTCCTGAGGAAAATTTCTCTTCACACTAATTTCTCCTTTTTCTATTGCCTGTTTTTCTCATTCCACTGACAAATGTTATAAACTATGTGTATCAGTGTCTCTATTTTCTCTCTTTTTTTAACGTTTTTTTATTAATTTTAGAGAAAGCAGAAGGGAGAGAGATAGAAACACTGATGAGAGAGAAACACGGTCAGCTGCCTCCTACATGCCCCCTACTGGGGACCGAGCCCACCCACCGGGCATGTGCCCTGACCCGGAATCCAACTGGGGACCTGTAGGTTCATGGGTTGATGCTAAACCACTGAGCCACACCAGCCGAGCAAGTGTCTCTATTTTCTAACCATCTATTATTCCCTCTTTATATTCAACAATCTACACACCCTCTACCAACCCCCGCTTCCACTCTAAAGAAAACCTGTGTATCTTTGTCCCAGCATCTAAGGTAACTACTCTCAAAATTGTTATTCTTTGACTCTGTGACATGAATTTCCTTTTACCCTCTAAATCCTCCCCTCCACTTTCTTTTCACCCTCTCAAATGAACATAGGAAATTTAGTCTCTGAACAACTGCTTTTCTCTGTATAAAACATGTAGCTCCAATAATCAATTTTGTTGCTTCAAATATACCATTCTAGATGTATGGTATCAATAGTTACTCGGAACCTATTATATAAGCAAAAAAACCTTAAGCCTTTCTAAGTAAAAAACTTAATCATTTCTTTTTTAAATGTATTTTTTATTGTTGGTAGTATTACAGATATCTTCCATTTTCTCCCTCTTTACCCCCCTCCTCCAAAGCTTAATCATTTCTTATTCTAAGTAGACATCTCATAGCACATGATGGCTGGTCATATTCCAGTAAGATGTTCTCATATACAACAAGTACAAACTGAGCTCCTGCCTCCTTCCTCAACAAGCTAGCTCACCCTCTTTCCC